CAGATGTCTTTCAGTAGTTGAATGATTAAACAAAACTGTGGTCCATGCATTCTAAGCACAGCTACTCAGAAACAAAAGAAACTTCATAAACACTTCCTGGATGACTTTCCAAGAATTATGCTGAGTGGTAAAAACCAATCCCCAAAGGTTATATACCACATGATTCCATGTATACGTTTTTGATTTTAGAAATGGGGCAGACTAGTTGCCAGGATTTAACAATGGGTAGGTGGAAGGAGGGAGGGAGGTGGATGTGATTATAAAATAGCAACATTAAGAATCTTTGGCGATAGAACTGTTCCTGTTCTGTGTTGTGAATATAGTAGTAGACACAAAGTCCATGTATGATAACATTGTGTAGAACTATGCGTGCGCACGAACACACACACACACACACACACACAAGTAACAATGGAGAAATCTGAATGAAATCAGTGGGTTGTGTCAATATGCATATCCTAGTTGATATTGGACCATAGTTTTATAAATGTTACYATTAGGGGAAACTGAGCAAAGCATATACAAAATCTCTCTCTTTTATGTCTTATATCTGTGTGTGAATCTACAGTCTATCTCTATAAAAATTTCATTTTACAAGAATCCATTCTGATCATTGCAAAGTTCTATTGTTCGTTGTGGAAAGTATAATTCATTTACAGAATGACACCTGTTGTCTGACTAGAAAAGACAAAATTACACAAAAAGATTGAAAATAAATGGATGGGAAAATGCCATATGAGGCAAACGGTAGTGGAAAAAACTAATATGGTAACATTAGTAGCATACAAAATAATCTTTCGTGTAAGTGAACATTATTATTATCATTATAAAGAGGGTCAGTAATGATAAAACAAATAGTTTATCTGGAACATTTAACAATCCTAACCTTGTATTACTTAGTTTTAAGCAATCTAGAGCAAAAATGAAGAACAAAGGAGAAAACAACAATTCACCTTAGGCCTGGAGGTTATCTAAAGCATTTTTCTCAGTAGCTGTTGTTAGTACATTTTTATCACTATAAGGAAATACCTGAGGCAGGCAGCTTTTAAAGAAAAAAGATTTAGTTCAGAGTTCTGGATATTGAAGAGCATGGTACTCAATTCTGGTGAGGACCCCATGGCAAAACAATGACCAAAGCATGTATGAGAAGGAATGATCTGGTGCCAGCATCTCCTGTGACATTGTCACAGCTACCTTAGCAATGCTTGGGGTCGGACTGGTGCACTCCTCCAGCAAGTTATGGCAATGAAGGCCGTGTGCATGCTGAAGGGCAATGGCCCAGTGCAGGGCACCATCYACCTCAAGCAGAAGGCAAATAAAGTTTACAGGATTGGCTGAAGGGCAGCACGGATTCCATGTCCATCAGTTGAGAGATAATACAGAAGGCTGTACAAGTGCAGGTCCTCACTTTAATCCTCAGTCCAAACAACATGGTGGGCCAACGGATGAAGAAAGGCACGGCAGAGACCTGGACAATGTGACTGCTGACAAAGATGGTGCGGCAATGTGTCCGTTGAGGATTCTCTGCTCTCACTCTCAGGAGAGCATGCCATCATTGGCCACACAGTGGTAGTCCGTGAAAACCAGATGACTTGGGCAAAGGTGGAAATGAAGAAAGTACAAAAGTGGGAAATGCCGGAAGTTGTCTGGCTTGTGGTGTAGTTGGGATAGCTCAGTAAACATTCCCTTCCATGTGGCTGGGTCCCAGTCACTCATCTGTCATCCTGCCAGCTGGTAGAAATGTAACTTGGTAAACATTAAACATTGTAGTCTTAAAAGTATAGCTGTGTGACTTCTTTTTAATTGCTCTAAGTATTTGTAATGAGAGGGAGTGGTCACATGATGCGGCAGAAAGCTGAGATTCAGGGCTCAGGCTCACTCAGATTTTATAACAGAATGCTCTTTTGAGAGCTCAGGGGTGCATTTTTGCTCTAGATTGCTTAAACACGACCACCACATTCACTTCCATATTGTCTTTGACTGCTTTTGTACCATAATGGCACAGTTGAGCATTTGCAACAGAGAATATATAATCCACAAATCTTAAAATACTTACTATCTGACCTCTTGTAGAAAAAAAAAAAATGTTGACTTCTGTCTTGGACAACAGGTCCTTGGAACACAATGCAGTGTGAGAAATCAATGACACACAGAGACAAATATTTAGACATTAAAAATCACACACTGAATGGATAAAGAAAATGTGGTACATATACACAATGGAATATTAATTACTCAGCCTAAGAAGAATGAATTATGGCATTTGCAGGTAAATGAATGGAGCTGGAGAATATCGTGCTAAGTGAAATAAACCAAATCCAAAAAACCAAAGGTCAAATGATTTCTCTGATAAGTAGATGCTGATCCATAATGGGGGCAGGGTAGGAAAGAATGGAGGAACTTTGGATTGGGCCAAGGGAGTGTGGGGAGTGGGGGGTGTGTGGGGTGGGAAGGACGATGGAATGACATGGACATTATTACCCTGTGTACATGTGTGATTACACAACTGGTGTGACTGCACCATGTTCAGCCAGAGGAATGAGAATTTGTGCTCCATTTGTGTATGATGCGTCAAAGTGCATTCTACTGTCATGTATAACTAATTAGAACAAATTTAAAAATTTTTAAAAATCACACTRCTAAATAATTCAAGGGTCAAAGAAGAAAGTCTAAATGGAACTTATAGAATGTATTAGTACCTAACATTGAAAAAGTACATGTCAAATGCGRGATGTAGGTAAAGAGAAAGAGAGAAATTGAAGTCTTAAAAARTGTTAATATTAGAAAATAAGAGGTCTGGGTTGTGTCTCAACGCTGGAGCACTCATCTGGCAAGTGTGAGGCCCTGAGTTCGATCCTCAGCACCACATATAAATAAATAAAATAAAGGTATATATAAATATATATGTATGTATGTATGTTTATATGTGTGTATATATATGTTTTTATATATATATATATATATATGAAAGGTTGAAAACTTATGTGCTAAGTATTTATATTTGACAGGTTTGCCAAAACAATTCCATGGGGGAAAACTAGTCTTTTCCAAAAATAGCTCCAGAATAACTTGGTATCCACATGCAAAGGAATAAAGTTGGACCCCTACTTCATACCATATATAAAAATTAACTAAAAATGGATCAAAGACCTATATATAAAAGCTAAAACTCRAGAACTCTTAAAAGAAAACACAGGTAAAAGTCTTTGTGACCTTGGATTAAGCTATGGTTTCTTGGATATGATAGCAAAGGCATAAACAAGAGAAAAAAATAGATAGATTAGACCTCATCAAAGTTTACAACTTTTATACTTCCAATGATGCTAATATAAAGAGTGATAAGGCAATCTAAAGGATGGGAGAAAATATTTAGAATTCATGTATTTAAAGCAGTGCGGCTGCTGTGGAAAATCTGGTAGTTCTACAAAAGGTTAAATAGAGTTGCCTAGGACTCAGCAAGTTCATGCCTAGGCATATTTGCAACAGAATAGAAAAGTTAGTCCCAAAAAAAGTGCATGTGAATGCTTTTCACAGTGTTGTTCATAATAGCCAAAAAGGGGAAACAATTCAAATGTCCATCAACTGAAGAATGGATAAACAAAATGTGGCATATCCATACAATGGAATATTATTTAACCATAAAATAAAATGAAGAACTGATTCATGTTATAACATGGATGAACCTGAAAAACGTACCAACTGAAAGGAGCTAGACACAAAAGGCACCTGGGGCATGATTGCATTTATGATAGACACATCCAGAGAAACAAAGGAGAYCACTGGCTGCCAAGGTCTGCAAAGGGAGCTGTAGGGAGAGACTGAACAGATACAGGGATTTCTTTGGAGTGATGAGAACATTGTACAACTTGAGAGTGGTGATGGTTGCACAACTTTGTGAATATACTAAAAATCACTGAATTGTACACTATAAAAGGGTGAATATTATGATTGTGAATTATATCTCAATTTTTTTTTCTTGCTGCTTTTTTTTTGGGGGGGCCGGGTTGGGGGGGGGAATTGAGCCCTGGATCTTGTGCATGCAAGGCAAGCACTCTACCAAGTGAGGTACATCCTCTGCAATATCTTAGTTTAAAAAAGAAAGAAAGAAAGAAAAAAGAAGCTAGAAAGGAAACATCAGAATAAAAAATGAAAAGAGAAGGAAATAATAAATAAAATTGATGAAGTAAAAAAAAAAAATGAAAAGAAAAAAACCCTGATTTTTAGGGGGTGGAGATGAAAACTAAAGCAAAAATGCCCCAGGTGAGACCGATGAGGGATTCCAGGCAAGCAGACCTTTTGTTTTTACAAAACCACAAATTATCTGAATGATGAATAACACAAGTGTGGATTTAGGTATGCGACGGCCCCAAGCTTACACATTCTATTCCACCTGTCCACCTCTGCTATTTCCAGAAGTCTAAYGCTTGGACTCAGAACCTTAAATCAAACCTCTGTTTGTTTCCTACATTCTTCTCTTATGGGTCCAGATGTGACCAGACACTGGGGAGAGCTGGGAGGTTTTATGAGGCTCTGTTTTTTCCAGGGTTTATCTTACAAATAATTTATTTTTGCAGCATCACACTCTGGTGCACTTTCTTTGCTKTACTGGACAAATTATTTCAATATTTGCAACACTGACTATCTTGAGTCAAGGCAAAGGATTGACCCAGCTTGCTCCCCCAAAAGTTCATGCTTTGAAAAGAAAGTTCACCCCAATCTGGCCTCACACAGAGGGATCTAGTCTGTGGCCCCAGGGGGCACCTTTCAATATCTCAAACAAGCCAGACTCTCTCCCATTAGAGGCTGGTCCATTACTATACWTCCTCTTCCTCTCATTGGAATGCCACCACCCAGGACGAAGCCCTGTATGTTGAAATGCACCCCCCACCCTAGTATGCAGGTTTTAATGCCCCTCTGTGGCTTTGTGGTTCATGCAATCTTAAGGTAATGCACAAGAGGAATCAGAGGGCAAAGTACATGGTGCTCTGACTGTCTTGTAGATGGCAAGGAGGACATCATGCTTCTGCACAGCACTGGGACCTTGGATGCCACAGCCAAGACCTTCTCTGCCCGGGTCCGAAGAGCCACAACTTCAAGAACAGAGAGGATATGGCCTGGAGGCGTCATCCCCTATGTCATCGGAGGGAACTTCACTGGTCAGTAGCCCCAAATAAGGCTGCTTTGGGGCTGGGTGCTCTGGCTCCCAGGGTTGAGAGCATCCTTCCAGGAGGGACTTGGGTGGCACAAAGTGGATGCCAGGACCACAGCAGTCCCAATCTGCCTAGGCTCCCTTGTTCCCAGGAAAACCACAATCTCTTGGGGGGCTATATCCTCAAAGTGGTCACCTTGTTCCCAAGGATTAGGTAGGGACAAATCTCCCTGGTCCCGAAGGACAGATGGGGTTTGCACTGTAAGCAAGTGAGGACAAGCCAACTCCCACCCCCAGACACAAGGGGCAGCACAAGTGGCTGCACATGGTAGCCTGTTATCCTCTGCCCAGATGAGCACCAGGACCTAGTGGTCCCTTATCGACACCCATCAGAGTAGTGCTTTYCGGGGCAAGCAGGGGGTGCCAGTCGAGGTGACACCATGTGGCATGACTCCCTGGGTTCAAATACTGACGTTTCCCATCCCACAGAGATGTTTTGAGAATCAAATAAATTAATATAGAGAAAGCACTTAGAATTGGGTGTAGCACGTAGTAATTAGTATTTCCTATTAGTAGCATTGTCTTTAGAATATGTGAGTCATCCCATTGGCTTCCCATTGCCTCTGAAACCACCCATCACGGCCTACCAGGCTGTCCCCTGGTGGCCTGCCTCCCCTGCTTCCTGGTCTTCTACCTTCTCCTCCTTTTCCCTAGTCCCTCTGCTCTGGCCTCAGCAGCCATCTTCCCGTTCCAGAACATGCCCACCTCCAGCCCCCTTGGCACATGGAGGCTGGCACTTGCCCTTCTGTTTGCCGAGAGCTTTGCATGGCTGGCTGCTTCTAATCAGTCAAGTCTCACATGAAGGGACACACMTCCACAGGAAGTCCCTCTGCCTCCCCATGACCCCACCAGGTGTCCCAGAGCCCAGTTTAGAACCTTTACGGCACTTACCATCACCCAAAATGACTTCCCTTCTTATTTCTGGTTGCTTTTCGCCTCTGCCTGAGCTCTGTGGGGGCTGGGKTTTTTTTTCCTTCCTATTTTCTCTCCCACATCTCCAGCACCTAGGACAGGGCCTGGTCCAGAAGAGGCAAAATCTGTCCATGGCAGGCCTGTGGCCAGTACAGCCAGAGTCGAACACCTCAGTGAAAGCCACAGAGTGAGCCCCCAGGTTCTCAGTGCCCTTTATGAGTCCTTCAGATCCCTGTGGCTCTGTCACTTCTACTATAAGAGGTATTTGATAAAAGAAGGTGTCCTGACGACCTGTCATGGCCACTGAGAACCACAGATGAGCAAGTTGGTGAAAGAATTACACAGACCTGGAGAGTGGTCCCCTGGAGCCTGGAAGGAGCATGGAGCTGCCCCTTTGTCTCTTCTTGGTGGCATTACCCACACTTCCTAGAGCCAGATACATCATTAAGTGCTGCAGTAAAGAGATGACTAGGACTTTGTCCTGCCCTTGGGGAGCCCCCAGTTCTAAAGCAGAAAAGAATATATGCCTAAGGAACCGAAAAGTAGGATAATGAATGGCTGCTATTGTTTTTGGTATCTTAATTGTGTTCTGACCATAGATTATATTACCTTCTGTGATCATCTGACCACAGATTATATTACCTTCATCAGAATGAACTAATGGTAAATATTAGGATTTTGTTGTTCTTTAATACTTAGGATTGCTATTTTGATGAGTAATTTAGCCATCAACAAATTGAACTGAAAATGTCAAGATGTCAAGAAGAGTGGACAGCTGTTCTTCTTTATTCTGTGTCTGTGTTTTGGGGGATAATATGACAAGGTGCCCCACATCTTCTAGACTATGGCAGGAGTTTATTGCAGTTTTTTACGTTTTAATTTAATTTAATTTACTTATTTGTACCCCTCTAACACTCTAACTCCTAGCCTCAGCCCTGTTTGTACTTCCCAAATACCTATGTTTTTTTTTAAAGCTTTTTGAAAAGCTGAAAGATGTTTATTTAATTGATAAAATTATATATATTCAAGGTGTTCAAAGTGGTAATTTGATACATGATTCCATTATGTAATAATCACCACAATTAAATTAATTAACACATCCATCACCACCCATAGTTACCATTTGGGGTATATGTGTGAGAACATTCAAAATCTGCTCTTATTACATTTCAAGCAAACATTACAATATGATTAGCAGGTCTGTTTTCTTTGATCATCAGAGCAGGCTTAGGCCAGCATGTTTAAGGAAGGCATGACCCCAGGTATGAAGTGATCAGCCCTTGCCCTGTCGTTCCAGGCAGCCAGAGGGCCATTTTTAAGCAGGCCATGAGACACTGGGAAAAGCACACCTGTGTGACCTTCATAGAGAGGACGGACGAGGAAAGCTTTATTGTTTTCAGTTACAGGAACTGTGGGTGAGTACACAGAAGCAAGACCCTTTTAGCAGAATCAAAGGTGCATGAGTCTTGAATTCCTCTGTCACACTAAGGTGGTGACTTATAGGTGTTGAGGGTTTGCTGGAAGCTCTCCTTGCCCTCAGTGAAATTGCAATCCATTTACAAAACAGATAGGTACAGAGTGACTCCAGGAAGACCTACTCTTAGTGGGTCCCATTGTGTTTTTATATGGAGAAAAGGTTAGGCCAGTGGCTCKTAACCTCTGATCCCACTGAGAAGCCGATAGCTGGAAAAAGCTGCCCTTTCTCAAGAATGAATGTACATAGATGCAAAATTCTGCATAGCCTTACACACTTCCTACAGAAACATTACACACAAGAAAATGACTGAATTATGAAAAAAAAGATATCTGTTATGCTGATAAATGTGTGAGGTACTCTCTACTGAAAAAGAAAGGTTCCCTTTTAAGGTCAAAAATCAAAATTGAACTGCATGCTCTACATATAAGCTTAGGATCATGAGCTGGGTCCATAACCCAGAGAGGTTTAAAAACAAAAGAAAGGAGGTGTACAGACAAACACTAGCAAAGGCAAGTTGGTATCATGATTGTAATTATAGATGAGGCTTTTCTTGTTTGGGTTTTTGTTTTTATTATGCATTTATTTATTTTATGGTGCTGGGGATTGAACCCAGGGTCTCGCCCATGCTAAGCAAGATCTCTCACTGAGCTACATTCCCAACCTTGTTGTTGTTTTTGAAGTTAGAAAGTGTTAAAAAAAATGTGACACTTTATAATAAGGAAGGGTACAAGTTATGGTGAGAATATGTGTCACAAATATTTATGCACTAAATCACATAGCATTAAGAGTCATAAAACAAGCCTTGGGTATCCAAGGGGAAATTGACAGAAATACCAGCAGCAGGAGATTTACTTCACTTTCATCAAGTAGGTTAGCATCAAGTTGACTAAAAAATAAGTAGAGAATTATAGAGGATCTAAAAAGTATAATTAATACAGTTGGCAGGAGAATGAAATAAACACTATGAATACTGACTMTGTAGGTCTGTCRTATTCTGTAACATCTTTTTAAAGTGCATGTTGAAGGTGTATTGACCTTGTCCATCTATTCAGCATGAAGAACATCTCAGTAGACTATAAAAGGCAGAAATAACATTAAAATATTCTCAGATTGCAAAGCAATGAAACTGGACACAATAACAAAAATAGAATTACCATTACTTGATAAGTTAAAGCTCCTCCTATTTTTTTAATAGCTCTTAGGTCTTAAAAAAATCAAGATTAACATGGCAGAATGTCTAGATAATGAAAGCCGTATGGTTCAAAATGAAATAGATAAGGCCAAGGCCTTATCCACAAAATATCCACACCAATACTTAAGAAATAAGTATCCAATTAAGAGAAGTCAGCTACAATAAATAAAATAGATATAAACCACAGTTGTCACACTAACAACAACAACAACAAAAAAAAAAACTAATGAGAGCACAAGGAAACATTATAGGGATAATAAATTCAAGAGTGAAATCTTCGAATAAACAAGAGACAACGGATAAACCACTTGTTGGTGTAACTGAGACCAAAAGTGGMAGCACAGAAACACACAACATTAGAAATGGAAAAGATTTTATGATTATAAAAGAGTACTTTGCAACATTCCAGGGCAAGAAATGTGAAAATCTTGATAATGTGAATGACTTCAAGGTAAATATAAAGTCCTGGCACACACCAATGGCTTTGAAAGAAATTGAAAAATGGAGGTAAAAAAGCTTTCTTGCCCTAAGAACCAAATGCAGAGTTCAATAGGGGAATTCTTTTATACCTTCAAGAATCAGAATATTCTGATACTACTGAAACTTTTCAGAGCATAGAAAAAAAACATTTTCAAATTCCTCTAAGGAGCTATCGTGGGCTTGCTTCCCTAAAATGACAAGGAGGGCATTGACAATAAATAAATAAATAAGTTATAGACATCTCACATATGAATAGTCATGAAAAATCCCAAGTAAAACATTAGGCTCAGCAGTAGGAAAAAGGAAGAGTTGGTTGCCATGTAGGCTTACCTAAAGAATACAGGACTAGTTCATCATTAGGAAATCTACTCACAAGATTGATAGGCCAAAGGAGGGAAACCATGTGCATATCTCAATATGTGCTAAAAGGCATCTGCAGGTTTCAACATGCATTTTCTGTCTTCAAAAAGGGGGTAGCACAGGACTAGATATCAATTACAAAAAGATACATACATACATATATATATATATATACATATATACACACACATATATTCATATATACATATGAAATACATTTATATTTCATTGCATTTGAAACCATAAGCCAATATTGGTAACAATCCTAGAAGCATTTCTGTTGGAATTAGGAACAAGCCAAAGATGTTTATGGTCACTACCATGATTTGACCTTGCTTTGGAAATACTAAATGATATAATGAGGCAGGAGAATGAAATAAACACTATGAATATTGGCAGGAACAAGGCAAAGTTCGTGTTATTGGAAGTTAATGTGATCATGTGCCTAGAAAACCCAAAAAATCAATTGAAAACCCATTAGAAACCCAAAGAGACTCTACTAAGGTGGACTGATCACAAAAGTAACTGGCAAAAAAATGAATTGCTTTTGTTTATACATGAAATAGCATGATGTGTTTTACAATGGAAAAATATCGATTTTTAATCATTTTCAAAATTTCAAACGCCCATATCCTTTTGTTCATTAATTCCATTGCTTGGGATTCACCCTGCCGTGAACAAGGGAKATKCCAGCTTTTCTTTGTTTCCCTTTTGTTTTGGTGTTGTTTATTTGTTTTATTTCTCTCTTGCAGCTTTGTTTAAATAGCAAAAACTAAGTGTATTTTGGTAAGAGACTGCTGAAGTAAATTTTAATGCTATAAAAATATTTAGTACCGGGGCTGGGGATGTGGCTCAAGCGGTATTGCGCTCGCCTGGCATGCGTGCGACCCGGGTTCGATCCTCAGCACCACATACCAACAAAGATGTTGTGTCTGCCGAGAACTAAAAAATAAATAAATAAAAAAAAAATATTTAGTACCGAGAAATAAACTTGGTAATGTATTGCTTTGAAAAGAATTAAAGAGGTCTACAGTGGGCTCTTTAAAGCCTAAAATGAGGGAAAGAGGCAGGCTGAAAAACAAGGTCCATAGTGTATTGTGTAATTTAAATATATACTCCTATAAAGATAGCTTTCTGTCTCTCTGTATTTATATCTGTCCATATGTCTGTCTTTCTTTCTGTCTTATAATTGTCTGGGAATACATCCAAGAAACTGTTAGCAATGTTTAGCTTTGGATAGAGATTGGATGTGCGGATGAGAGACTTCGATCTTTTGAAACATGATCAATAGATGTTATCTGGATGATAAGATTATGGGACATTTTAATMGTTTGACAAAATCAGTGTTGGTCAGTGTATTAGGAATAATGAATAAATAGTTGAAAAAAGAATTGTGCYCAGAAGGGAGTCTCTGTTTCCTCTAACAATGGTACTAAGAGGCACACTTTTCAGAAACTTCTGCCTCCTTCTCCCATCTCTTTCCCTCGTCCTTATAAATGGTCCAATCGAGCCTCAGGTGCATGTGCTTAATTCCAGGAGGGGAAACTCTTTCTTCAGATTCCCAGAAGGTTTGAGAAGCATCTTTTGGGGACATCTCTATATTGGGTGGGGAGTCAAACAATGGGAGGGCTTTCACCTCTGAAGTGTGCCAGTGGGCGGGGAGGGGTGGTGGTCTTGCCTCTTGCCCTGGATATCCCCTGACCTGCTGACCTGAGTGTTTCTATCACGGTCCAGCTGTTGCTCCTACGTTGGGCGTCGAGGAGGGGGACCCCAGGCCATATCCATTGGCAAAAACTGTGACAAGTTTGGCATCGTGGCTCACGAGCTGGGCCATGTAGTTGGTTTCTGGCATGAGCACACCCGGCCAGACAGAGATCAGCATGTCACCATCATCAGAGAAAACATCCAGCCAGGTAAGGAGGCCTGGGTGGAGTCTGGAAGCCACCATCCAGGAAGGTGGCACCCACAGGGTCAAGAGGGAGTGGAGGAGAGGGCCTGCCTGGAGCTGAGCAAAGCTGACAGCTAAACATGGGGCAACAACCCAATTGTGTGGGCACTGGCTGCCAGCACTGCCACTGACCGCCCACTGTAGCCTTCTTGGGCAGTCACCTGCTCAAGTTTGTAGAACAGAAGTGAAATAATGATTTTCCCTTGTTGTAAAGGACAATTCCCTAAATGGAACAGAATCAACCAGWATTCTGTTGCAGCATCAGGGCTGATCAGCCAAAGAAAGTTCTCCCGGCTGCCGTCGCGAGTCATTTTTGCTGACTTGGGCAACACATGGTTTTGAAACTGCAGTGCAGTTAAGATACCAGTGCGTGTAAGAGCCATGTTTCTGCCTAGAAGCCTTCTGCCCCGAGGCAGCTAACGGATCTAGATTTTTAAAAACATGTCTTCTCATGTTAAATAATTCAATTTAACCGTTGATATTTAACAGGAAACTTGCTTGTTGAGTTATAGGCTTGCCTTCAACATGCTTTAGAGAATCTAAACTGTGAAGTCCTTGGGATTGAATTTAACTCTGATTCATTTTTATTTCCTCCTTCAAATTGCAAGAATGGAATTTTTGGTTTTTAGCCTAACATTTTTTTTTTTTTTGACAAGCAGATTGAGTGCTAATCAGCCTGCAAATATAGTTCAAGATCTTCAAGTGGCATTTAGGGAGGGGTGTTGGGTGGCAGGGCTGGGAGAACATAGGGCTCGTGTTAAGTTTCCAATTTCCAACTTCTGTTAGAAACAGCAACAGGAAGCTCCGTAAACCCTGTTACTTGACTAGCTGGGGTAAGAGTGGCGGGAAAATGCTATGGGCCCTCCCTCTCCCTCCTCTGCCTCCTTTCAGATGYTGCCTTGGTTTTCAAAGGCCTTAACAGAGTGTTGTGTCACAGGTCAGGAGTATAATTTCTTAAAAATGGAAGCTGGGGAAGTGAGCTCTCTGGGAGAGACCTACGACTTTGACAGCATCATGCACTACGCCCGGAACACCTTCTCAAGGTCGGAACCCTTGCTTGTGCTGTCTGTGTTTTATCGTGCCTGCCGCAGGCTTGGGTCAGATTCCTGAGGTCTGTGCAGAGCGAGCRAGTCTCTGCATGCTCCTAGCACGGCTGGCCTGTCTGTCCTTGAAATACAGTGGCCCCTGGGCTGCAGTGAAATATAATCTAATCAGGTTCCTGCTAATAAGATTGAATCCCATTGTGAAGCTGGCGTTCCATCATGTCCTAATGTCACAAGCAGCAAACTGGAAAAGGGGGAATTATTGAGAGGTTGGCTGGGATAATAACTTAGAAGCTGTGTGTAAAATTTGGGGGGTGGGGTGGGGGAACCTCTTTAAAGCATGTCCTTGTGTAAGTGTGGTGGTACTCACTGCTTCTCCTAGAAGAGGTTTGGTTTATTGGAAGCTAGGTCGTGTCAGAGGCTGGAGGGCTGAAAATCACAGATTCACCTTAGAGGTAAAGAAAATGAGGCTCCAGCCAGCTCAGAGGTGCACAGGTAGCTGGGGTTGGAGGGAGAACAAGGATCCAGGTTCTCTGCCTGTCAATCATGGATGATGGAAGGTACTTTACTGAGTGGGGCTGGACCTGTTTTTTATGGTTGGCATTGGCAGAATCTGAAGAGCTGGGTCACTGTTCTCCTCCTTACTGTCCTGCTTCTAGGACACATAAATGTTTTTTTGTGTATAGAAGTTTTTCCCTACCAGTTCCATTTTTGTAGGTCTTCCCGCTCTTGAGTTAAAGAAAATACACAGTTCAGATATTCTCTCTCTTGGCACTTTCTTTTCAGTGTCCTCTTAAACCCAGCTGTTTGTTTATTTMATTGTTCCCCCCAGAAAAGGTTTGAGGTGACTTCCAATACATGCATACAAGGAAAAAAAAAATGGATTGAGAAAACTGGGGGAAAGAGAGGAAAAAAAAATAAGAATAGAAAGTTACATTGAAGCCTGGAATAACTTTAGTACTCAGAATACATGCTGTAAGTTCTTGTACATCTTGTTGGGGTTGGCAGCAGACCTTGCCCTGTGCATCCTAGCAGTCACAGCAAAAAAGGGAAACAATCTATTTTGGGAGTTGTCATTGTGCATAAAGATTAAAGGTAGCCATTGGCTCAGGAGACCGTTTCTAGACTGAAATAGATACCAGTCACCAGGCCTCCTTTGTTCTGGTGAGACTGGTGGAGGCACCCTGTTGATGCYGTCATAAGATTAGTAAATCTCAGCATCCCAGGTTCTCCAGGGCACTGTTCCCTGGCCACACAGCTGAGTCAGTCCTGACCTCTCTCCTGAATCCAGGAGGGAGCTCCCGAGCTCTCATGGGAGAGTTCAGTCAAGTCAAAATCTTTGACAGCATTTCATAGTGGTATAGGCCGAGCCACCCTTGGTTCTTCTTTCTCCTCCTGGCTCTTCTTCAAAGACACCAGGGGCAATGGAGTGTGACCAAGAGGCCACTGAACTGAGAGTAGGAAGACTGGGTTCCAACTCCAGGTCTCTCACAGCCTGGTAGCTGAGGTAGGTGCAGACAGCAGTTAGGGACAGCTGTGTAGTTCGTTCAATTTCCCATTCCATGGGGCTCAGTCTTTCCATGAGGTGGCCTGAGTGTCCTCTGAGCCCCTTCCATCTCTAACCTTCATGTTTCACTTTCTTAATCTGGTGTAGGTGGGTGAGAGGTTGACAGATAGGATCTTACCTGATTCTGTACAGGAAATATGGAGCTGGCTGGGCTTCCTCTTCCATGTTGGGAGGCTGAGACTTTGAGAGCCCACTGTGGGGCTTTGTGTGCAGAGTCTCAGGAAGCCAGTGGAGTGGGCAGGATGAGAGCCTGTCAGGGGTGCATGTCCCTGTGTGTTGGGCTGACCCTCCAGTTTGGGAAATGGCACAGGGAATAACCAAGTATCATCCCATCATCCCATCATCTGTCATGTAGAGGTCAAGTATTACAAGAGTAGGAACCTTTGTTGAGTTGGCCCCACCAAGAAGCTGGTACCTTGGATCTTGTTTCCRTAACTCTTCATATTGCTTTTTAATTAATTATGGAATTATTATTGATCTCTTACTATTTGCATTTTGTATTCCTCTCTCCCTTGGTAGATGAGATCCTTGGGGAGAGTCTATCTCATTCTGTTTTAGTCTTCAGCACCTAGTAGGGTGCTTGGCACATGATAGATATTTGTTAAATGAATACCCTAGTGTAGGAGTTCAAAGGGACCCTGGAGGTCAGCAGTGTTGTTGCAATTCTCTGCACATCTTCACCATAAGTCACTTCAGTAAGGAGAATCTGTGAGCTCTCCCAGCCTGAGTGCGCTCTGGGAACTGTAGTGTTCTGTGCCAGGTGCTGCACAAAACTTTGGAGCCAGAGGCCAGACATGGGCTCTTTTGACATCAGCACTTCTTTCCTTGTCTTTTTTTTTTTTAAAGAAAAATTTCTTATTTTTTCCTGTTGAGATTTCTAGCTCATAATCCCATCCCTTTTGCCCCTCAGGAGAAAACCATTACTGCTATCTATTATCAAAGGCAACCATTTTATCAGCATGAACCACTGGAAATCCATGATCCAAACCCATGAAATAATCTCTCCTCATCCAAWGTACCCACAGTTCCTAGGAGGGAGATTGACAGGGGCAGCACTGGGTGTGATGGGCAGCTTCCCCAAAGGCCATCTTCCCTTCTGCAGCTGTTACCTTATCTATTATTGCAGAACAATTCTCAGCCTAACCTAGCAGAACAATCCGCTGCCAAACTTAGGAACTTAAAACAGCAGCTCATTCTTTTTTCTGATACTCTGGGTCAGTCTGGCTCATTTTTCTCTGGTCTGCCCTGATATCACTCATGCAGCAACAGTCATTTGACAGTTTGAACTGGGGGTCAAGATGACCAGTCACACAGCTCACAGTTGGTGCTGCTTGGCCGTGCCAGTCGGTTCCCCTTCCCACAGGCTGTCATCCTCCAGTAGTTGTGAGCAGGCCCTTCTCTGCTTGAGGACTCAGCTCCTGGGGGCGAGCTGGGAAACAGCAAGGCCCAGGCTTAGAACTTGCATGACATCTGTCTCTTCTGCTCCATTTTATTGATCAGAGCAACCCACAAGGCCAGCCCAGTCTCTGGTGAAGAAATAGATTCCACTTTTGAACGAGAGGAGTGGTGACTTCACATTGCGAAGGGATATAAATATTAGGAGGTGTGATTAATTATTTTATTAATCTATCTCTGCTCTCTTTTTACCTCTGCACCAGAGTTTGGAATTTTTTTTTTCCAAATCTATTTTGCTACAGGTAGAYACCTAAATTGTCTTTTCTGCCAATTTTCTGAAAACTATTCTTTTCTTTGGGCCCTTACTAGGGGGCTTTTCTGGAATTTTGTCCAAAGTTTCTCAAGTCCCAGTGGCTCAGGAGGCTGAGGCAGGAGGACAGCAAGTTTGAGGACAACAAGTTCAAGTTCAGCCTCAGCAATTCAGTGAGGCCCTAAGCAACTTAATGAGACCCTATCTTAAAACTAAAAAAATAAAAAGAGCTGGGGATGTGACTCTATGGTTAAAGGCCCCTAGGTTCAAACCTTGGTACAAAAAAAAAAAGTTTCTCTACTCCCTAACTTGAGGTCATTACTCCTGTTTACATATCCCTGAAACCATACTGTACCTTGTCTTTGATTCTGTGAAAGAGCGGAAGACAGCCTACAAATGTATACTCATCTAGGAGACAAAGGCTTTTCCCGCTGATGGGAAACCCGGTCTTTTTTTCTCTTTACAACTGAGCCATCTCCTTACAACTTTATTCCCTCTGGTTTATTGTGCTGCTTCTCTGCTTTCCCTTAGTGGGACCCAAGCTGTGGGGAGTGATATCTTTGGAGAGGTTTTGTTGGGCATAGGTCCAGGGAACAGGAGGAGACAGTCTCCTAGTACAGGGATGTCTTTGTTTGGAGAACCCAGAGCTGACAGTTTTATTCCCTATGGCATCTGCCAAAGCCTTTCTTAGTCTAGCAGAATGTCAATGTCAGTGCTAGGGGTTGCCCCCCATGAGAGGGGGAAGGATCACTATGGCAATGTGTTACTCAGGGCAGCTCTTCCAGCAGATCTCTTTCAGTGCCCTGTGCCTTGCTGGTAGCTYGGAGACATACAGGGATATCCCAGCTCCAAAACCTGTTCTCATGTGAGCCAGTGTGCCTGTTTGAGGTCTCCAGGGCTTTAAGTCTCCTGGGCACTTAATACTATCATTGAAGGCCCACTGTTTCCTGTCCACTGTTTCACTGGCTGGGAAGGAAGAAGATGCTCAGGGGTGGGTTCCAGGGCTGCCTGGGTTCCAGGGCTGCCTGGGTTCCAGAGCTGGCTGTCCACTGGGCAAGTTGTGTAAGCCCCACAGGTTTGGATTTCTCACCTGTAGAGTGGGAAGCCTAGTGATAGGGGATCTGCCTTCCAGGGTGTAAAGAAGATTAAAAGAGAAGATGCTTGTCAAGCTCCCGGCCCCAGGCAGGTCTCTTATCACTAGACTCAGGGATCAGAGCACAGTGGGCTTCAAGAAATGGCTCTTGAATTAAAGTATGCAGCCATGACAAGGGCTGACTTCAAAACATTTGCAAAATAGCTATTTACATCCACAAGGAAATGCTGAAATGCACACAATCACCTAGCTGCTAACTGTGCACTCTCCTTTTTCCTGGCTCTCTCACTTTCAAACACTGTTTCTCTTAACTCTGTACTAACCTAGAAAATGCATATTATCTGTATTTCTTCCTGGTCACATTACATTGTCATATTTTTGTTCTAGAGGTGCTTGTTTTTCTAAATCAGACTCCAAGCTGACTTTCTCTCCAACACTAGCAYGAGAAGTCTAGACCATCCGCTGATTTCCCTTTCAGCCTCCGGGTGCCCAGCTTTCTCTAAATGTGCCCTGGCTTTCTCTAACTCCTCCTGTCTCTTCTCTGGGTCCGCAGTCCCCTAGAGAAACCTCAGTGGAATCCTTGGTCTCCCTTAGTGACCTCACCAGGTTTAAAACCATAAGTAATGACTCTAGAGAACTCTAAATTCAATCACCCATTATTGTAAAAATGGGCACCTCTGCTCTCACAAATGATGTGTCCATTTGTAGATATTTCCCTGAAGAAAGGAATTTAAATAATTACCACATTGTCCAAGCAGCCCAGGCTCACACAGCCTGCCTGGCAAAGTCACCAACAGACCTGGCATGTGGAGACCGGGTCTCCTGCCCTCCCTCACCATTCTTAGGACACACCTGAGCTAAGGCAGTGGCTTGGGAATGAGGAGAAGGGTAGGGACTGGAGGGATGCCATCGTAGAAGGCGTGGGACCTGGTCATTAGTCCAAGGGAGTGTGAGGGAGAGGGAGGAGCTGAGGCCCCTTTGGTCCAGTCTCAGGAGACAAAGATCATGGAATTAGCAGGAGAAGATTGGAGCAAATTTGTTTGGGGACATGTTGGGTAAAGAAGCCCTTAGGATAGCTCAGAGGAGGTGGGACCAGGTGTCTGGGGCCTGGTAGACGGTTCTGAGCTGGAAACAGAATTTACTGTGTGTCTCAGGTGGTGGGTAAAATCCTGGGGGTAGGTGGAACACAGAGAGAGGAGAACAGAGGAAGTGGGCAGAACCCCAAGGGACAGCATTAGTCAGGAAGCAGAAGTGACTCCTGTAGCTCAGCTTAGAGCAGTGCTCTGGGAACAGGGAGAAGAGAGTGAACAGGGGTGGGGGGTGACAGGTCCCAGGGCTATAGAGAGCACAGGCGAAGTCTGAGAAACACCCATTGGTAGGTGAGTGGTGACCATCGYGGATGGTATCAGATAGCAGTTGGAGTGAGGAGTGAGTGATAGGTGATTATCAAACAGGGGGGAGGGGATGCAATTCTTCCCAGAAACTCAGTTAAGAAAGAAGGGAACAGGTGGTACCAAGAGGAGCTGGTTCAATGCAAGGCCTAACCTCCAGGAGAGGCCCCACACAGATGGTCTGGAGGCAGAGGAGGCTCAGAGCTGGCAGCAAAGCAGGAGGGGAGAAACCACGCCCACACAGGGCAGTGCAGATAGGGCCAGGGCTCAGCCAGGCATCCTGGTTTCCATTTGTGTTTTAGAAATGAAGCTGTCATTTTGGATATCATTCACGTGGGAGTAGAATATGATGCTAACCCTGGGAAGGGCTGCCACAACCATCCAGGCCACCCTCTTTCAACTTCCTCTTGTTCTCTGCATTTCTCTCTGGCCATCACGACCCCTCAAGCTCTGATTTACCAACTCATTTGCCTTCACTTGCTGGCTAGCCACACACTGCACCAGCTCCTGTGCTCCCTCTGAATGACTCCAGAACTTATCTATGCATAGCACTGCCCAATGCACATCTCCAGGGGGCGCCACTCACACCACCATCTATGGTGCTCCCTGCCTTGTGCAGTGTGCTGACCCCAGGGCTAGGCCTCTCAGGGACTTCATGAAATGCTCAGTACACATCAGTAAGGAAGGCTCTGGCAACCAGGCTAGTGCATATTTTTCCACTTGGCAGTCATCTTTCCTTGGAAAGTGAGCAGGCAGCTGATGAGATGAAATGCTGAAAGGCCAGCCAGAGCGAAGGAAGCTGCTCCCGTCATGCCAGCCCGGCGAGAGGCAGGCGGGGAAGGAATGCCGAGGAGAATAAGGGCAAGGAAATGAAGACTAAGCCCACGGTGCACAGGCTGACAGTCTGACTTTTCTTCCTCTCTCTCTTTTTTGTTCCTGTAGAGGAGTTTTCTTAGACACCATCCTTCCCCGTCGGGATGATAATGGCGTCAGACCCACCATTGGCCAGCGTGTGCGTCTCAGTCAGGGAGACATAGCTCAAGCCCGGAAGCTGTATAAATGCCCAGGTAACTGTGAGCCGCAGGGTTTCCAATACCTCTGGGCCTCCCACAGAGTGCAGCTCGCTGCTGTTTGCAAATGGCATTCTTGTGATGACTTGRGGAACCTAAAGGGACTGATCCTTGGCAGTTATTATTTCTGAGACCTGTCTTAGGARGTGTGAGATAGCATAGAAAACTTGCCTATAGCAAGACTTGTGAAGGTCTTTGGACTTCTCTGGCAAAGCCCAGGRTCCAGAGGGGAAGAAGTCGCAGTAGGAGAGCAGTACACAGGCATCCAGGGTGGTTGGCCCCATAACACTCAGAGCACTGGACGATCACTGGGACTGGTGATGTGGATTTAGCAAGACAAGAATCAAGGAGCTGGGCAGGAAGACAGAGTGAGGGAGAATGCTTGGGGAAAATGGAGATCTGTTTCCCAAATACTATGGGTAGGGGAAGCCTCGGTGCCATAAAGGAGGCCATTTCTATGGCCTTAGTCAGTGACCAGTGGCTGCTATTGAAGACTGGGCAGTACCCACGGGTTGGAGCAAATGCCTATTCTCTGGCCAGTTCAGCAGTCCCCATCCTTTGAATTGGCCCTCTTTGCCTTTTGTCCTCTTACTTTCAGCACCATCTCAACCCATGCTACCCTGGGGGTGAGGTCTCCTTTCATCCCCTGAGCTGCTGGGTAATGTTGCAAAGCATTGGTTGCAGCAGCCAAAATTTTACCATGGATGGGACAAAATACATTCCTATGGTTTGGGGAGGATAGTAGGAAGTTTCATTACCAACAGTCACTTTCCAAATGCACGCCTCTGGAGAAATCCTGGGCGGTCACATTGCTCTACTACACAGGACCATGGGACCTGCAAAGGACTGTGTGGGGCTTGCATCCTCATGAAACTAGGAAATATGTCCATTCAGCTATCAGTCATCTGGGGGCATGTTGGGGCCGAAATACAGAACAAGTATATCATATAACCTTGCTGAATTTAAAGGGAAACCTTATAGCTCTCCCTGGGAAATGCCACAGTATTTATTTAGTTATAATGTATATGCTGCTTATTTCCCAAAAGGGTCCAAGGCAGCTGGTAAATACCACGGAGCTACACAGTAATATATCTGTTGTTGCAGAATGTTGATGATTATTCTAAAATAATTTCCATGGAACCCTCGGGGGCGTTGACTGCCGGGCATAATCCTCGTGATGCCTGGCAGTTGTTCGGTAATATGATATTGAAGCCCCGATATCCAGGATTTCCTGAGGCCAGGGATGGGCCGTTCTCCACACATCTCTTCCTGCAGTTCCAAAAACTATGGATCTTCAAGTCGTTTCACAGAGTGACTGAAAGCTAAGCTGTTGTCAGGCAGAGGTTGAGTCACATGTAGGAGAAGATGTTTAAGGACATTTGTTCCCACGCTTTGGAGGTGTCCCCATAAGATGAGAGGTACTCAGCAAGCCAGCGTCTTTGTCTTTGGGGTTTAAATCCCTGGAGCTCAGAGAAATCCAAAACCTGAAGCTTTTTTTTTTTTTTTAAGGACAAATCTGGGGAAATATTTTTAACATCCATGTTCTATGTTTTAGACTCATGACCAAGCACCCTTCAAACACACAAGGGCAGGATAGCATACTGTAGAATATTTTAGCTTCCTGTGCTTCTGCATTCTTCTCTGTTTTCTTGACTAGATGATAGCTTGTTTGGAGGTTTGTGGCAGGAAAAAAAAAAAAAAGAGGGAGGAGGGGGAGGTGTGGGCAAGTTTCAAACTAATAGCTGAGGGCTGGGGATGCAGCTCAGTGGTAGAGTGCTTGACCAGCATGCTTGGGGCCCTTGGTTTGATTCCTAGTGCTGGAGGAAAAAAAAAAAAAAAAGATTCACACTAACAGCTGAAATGAGTTTAAAGGTATTTTTTTTTCCTTGCCTCACTGACTGGCACTTCCATATTCTTCCTGTGGCATATGTTATYATTAGCAATCATAATGGCTGCAGTGTATGGAGCGCTCAGTAGGTCCCAAGCACTGAGCACACCCACTTCACACAATGCAAATGATTCCACTCACGCTCTGAGTGAGGCCCTGCTTACTTTACAGGTAAGAAAACAAAAGTCCAGCACACAACCACACTGCTGGCCAGAAAGCAGATATTCCAACCCAGCTCTGGGCTGTCCTCAGTCCTGAGAGTCTCAGCAGAGCCCCCTGGGTGTGACTCTTTGTACCCTGATGCTACTTTCACTTATGTTAGCTAGAAAAATGTCAACATGCCAGAAAAATGTCAGCGTGAGCTTTTGGGAGACACTTCATATCCAAACCGTAACAGATGTTCACAGAAAAATGTCAGCGTCYAAGATTGCTTCTTGCCAGTGGTTCTGAAGGCTTTGGGTGGTGAAGGGTGTGTTTGCCCTGCATCCCTGAGCAGGGGCTGCTTGGGCAGGTACCAGGTGCATGAGCCATGTCACAGTTCTTATTTTGCTTATGCAGCATGTGGGGAGACCCTGCAGGACACAACAGGAAACTTTTCTGCACCTGGTTTCCCAAACGGCTACCCTTCTTACTCTCACTGCGTCTGGAGGATCTCTGTCACTCCAGGCGAAAAGGTAGGCKGAGCATTAACTGCCCTGGTTGGATCATTGCACGTTGTATATATGTACTGAAGTCTCACAGTGTACTCCATAAATATGTACTATTATTATTAATAAAAAATTAATTAATTAAAAATAAATGTTTAAAGAGATGAAACTGTTAACTACCCTGATTTGATCATTACACACTCTATACTTGTATCAAATTCTCACTTTGCCCCATAAATATGTACAATTAAAATAATAATAAATAAATATTAAAGGTGAGAAACCTCCTTGTGAGTTGGGTGAGATAGGAGGACTTATTTTTAYAGTTACTAGTAATCATAAGAGCAGTTTTCTTATGAGCACACAATACCTGCCAGATACTTCACCAGTGCCATACATTCATTATTTCTGGACTTCTCCACCAGTCTCACCTGTACATGAGGAGGCCTGGCACATACTAGATATCTATGTAAGTTACAAATCAAGCTAACTGTAAAGTAGACTGTATTTCCTACTTTGATAAGCACACTGTTATTATGCCCTGGAGAGCAAGGTTCATTTCAGAATTTATTGACAGCTCAGAGTGCTGCTCTGGAAGGTGTCAACATGGCAGAACTGGCCCCAAACCCACCGTTGATTGCTTCAGGAGCACTGTGTTGACACCCTGGCCACAATCCCAGGCATCAGCCACTCCTACTTTGCAGACAGCTGCTCCTTGGCTAGTGGATGTGGGTAGCCACCCTCAGGAGAATGGGTCCAAAGAATAGTTCCTTGCATGCCCTGCAAGTGGGCTCAGAACTATATGGACAGCGAATTCCAGGGTCCTGGATCCTTGGAGTAGGACTTTGAGACCAAGGAGTATAAGCTCTGGGTTCACATGTTCCTTTGGCCCTGAAGATTCCATGACCCTCTAGAGCTGAGCCTAGGACAAGGGCCTCTTTACTCTGCAATAAAGGTGGCATGTTCTCAACCCTACTTCAGAGTGCATATTCTTATATCCAGTCTATGAAGGAAGAATTAAGTCTATGAAGCTCAGACATTAAGGTAATTGCCCAAATTCATGGTGAGATATAGAACTGGGAATGGGAAACCAGACCTTGTACTCCAAAGTTTATCTTATTACTTAATAACTACAAATGCAAGTGTTCTTCAAATTGTCTTAGATGTTGTTTTAGTCAGCTTTTTCGCTGCTGTGACTAAAAGATCTGACCAGAACAATTTTAGGGAAGAAAAGTTTACTTGGGGGCTCATGATTTCAGAGGTTTCTCGGTCCATGGATAGTTGGTTTATTCCTCGGGGTTCAAGGTGGGGCAGGACATCATGATGGAAGAGTGTGGTGGAGGGAAGCAGCTCACATGGTGATCAGGAAGCAGAGATACAAATATATACCCCAAAGCCAGGGCCCCAATTCCCACCTCCTCCAGCCACACCCTACCATTTCAGGTACCATTCAGTTAATCCCAATCAGGGGATTAACTCATCAATTGGGTTAAGGCTCTCACAACTCAACAATTTCTCTTCTGAACCGTCTTGCATTGTCTCAAACGTGAATTTTKGGGGAAACCTCATATCCAAACCATAACAGATGTTCACTGATCTCTGTAATCATTCCTGTCACGGGATGTCCTACAGTTCCGTGCCTGCTGATTTATTTGTCCCACTTCTAATCCTTCAGCTCAGAGATTGTCCCCACTCAATCCCAGAGGCTCACATAGTCTGTGGCATAAAAACAGTCACACAATGGATATTTGTTGAATAGCTATGTGGACACCTGAGGGGCTGAGTGACAGCAGGTGGGGGTGGCAGCAGGCAGCCTTCAGGCATTCCTAATGCATAGCTTTAAAAATGTGTCCATTTAAATGTTGAGTTAAGCATAGTGCGATGAAATTTTCTAAGGGCTGGATTCTATTCTTATCATGTAATGTAGATCATTTGATTGGATCCTCACATCAACCTATATGCTAGGTGCCCTTACCATGCTCATTTTACAGGTAAGGAAATGGTTTTGCCCAAGAATACTGTTTGTTGCACAGTTGGGATTTGAACCTGGGTAACTGAACTAGGAACCCACATGCTTGGCCATCATCTTACGTTATTACCCAGAGGGGACAAGCTGGTAGACACTGTGTGGGCATTTATACATACACATTTGCACACATACGTGTGTGCTCACACATGTACACTCTTTCTTTGACTCTGAGCATTTAAGATGGTGTTGTTGCCATCTTGTATCCAAGACTCCAGATCTTCTTCCTTGGGCAGATGGGAGGTGTCTGTGTTGGAGGTGCTAACAGGGGGGAGGCAGGGARGAGGAGGAGGAGGAGCAGGAGGAGGAAGGAGTCTGATAATCTCCAAATTGTTGAATTGCCCTGCACAGCTGAGGCTGTGATATGTAAGCCTCAATTATTTGTGCTAACTGGGGGCAGGGAGAATATACATCATTGAAATTCCTACACCAATTATTCCAATTTCTGCTTCACACAGCCTTCCCCAGAGCTGCTAGTAATTAGCAAACTTGATTGATTCAAGTATCACCTCTCGTTCATCACCTCTTCCCCTATGGTCTTTATGGTTCACTAACACACTTAAAATAATTAGCCTGAATAATTATCCTGTTCATTCAGATCATGAATGTGTTACCAGGGAAGTTGTACTAACATTTCCTTTCTGTAATTTTAAAAAGCAAAGACTAAAGAATTATCGCGCAACCAACTTCTAAGTATTGTTGAACTCAATCACCTGAATACAGGCACGGTGGGGGATGTGAGAGAAACCTAAGGTAGATCCCTATCTTTAAGAGGCTTAGCGTTTAGTTTGGTCTCCCCCTTGCTCCCTGGGAATCTGGTTTAATGGAAGGAGGGGCATTGGCTTGGTACCAGCTTTTTCCTGAAGTTTCCAAGGTGATTCTAATGTATAGTATGGTTGAAAAACACTAGTTTTAAAGGAGAATGACATATCTTATGCATGCATGCATGCACGCGTGCGCACACACACACACACACCCAGTGACAGAGATAAGCTGGCCTCTTATTTTCTGGAACACACTCTTCATTTCCTAGGAGACTACRGGGCTTTGTGAGAGAAGATGCTACTTGTCCTGGGATCTTGTGGGCACCCCAACACCTTGAGATGGGCAACCTGTGAGGGTTTGTGTCAGTTGTGTTGTCTAAGTGCACACTCTTGGGACCTGGTTTTAATTACCACTTATGGGGTGCCTCCTACATGCTGGGCAGGCTTCCGGACAGTGATCCCCAGGGCTGTTTGAATTTTAGAGAAGTAGCCAGTGGAGAAGCAGAGAGTGAAGGTGCTGGGGACAGATGAGCTGCTGACAGCAAGGTCCCTGGAATTGTAAAAGGAGTAGGTTCTGGGTGCAGGGCAGGGGCCAGGGCCAGCTGAAGAGCAGGAAGAGCTGAGGATTGAAGGAGCAGGGACATGCTAAACGTGGGCAGAGAGCCAGCTAGAGAGCTTGGACCAGAAGGCTATTGCTTCTCAGTGTTGACAGCCACCCCTCCTCGCTCTTAGGTTTTACGTCAGAGTGTCCTGGTTAGCTTGTCACACCTGTCCTGCCTTCCTTCGCTGACCTCCCTAAAAGCAGGACACCCTCTTACTGATCTCTCTCAGTCACTCAACACAGACTAGCACACAGTAGGTGGTCAACAAGCCATGGTGGAATGAATGAATGCACTAATTATAGGAAGGCTATTAGACACACCACACCTCAGAACAGTGAGGTCATGGCCGAGGGGACATTGATCACGGAGGTGCTCAGATGCACTCAGGCTAACTAACCCCAGACCCCCCAGAATGATTGATGATGTTATAAGATCTTTCCGTATCTCTGAACTTCACTGACCCCTTACCTCCTTCCAAATCCCAGTCTCAACGCGCCCTGGGCTGYCTTTTTAATGCATTGTGCTCTCTGTAAACCACCTAGTGACTTCAAAAGCTCAAGTGATTCCCCAGACAGAGTCTAAGGGCCCATCTCCTTCTATTTACTCCCCATCCTGCCTAAGGTTTATTATTTAATGTCATGAGGTTTCCTGTGCCTGTATTTTTGAGAAAACACTCCTACTGCATTCTGGGGGCTCTGTATGCTAAACGGTAACGTGAGAACACCGGTATGCGAGACCCATTGTGCAGGACCCCTCGGTCTTTGTTGTCCAAACTCACTTTATGGTAATTCCTTACAGATCATCCTGAACTTCACATCCATGGATCTGTTTAAGAGCCGCCTGTGCTGGTATGATTACGTGGAGGTCCGGGATGGTTACTGGAGAAAAGCCCCCCTCTTGGGTGAGTGGACTTCAGACAGCCTTAAGAGAGAAGCCATCAGGTGTTCTCTGGGATGCTCCCGCTGTCTCCAAGGGACCGTCTTGTCGGCAGTCACAGGAAGCTCTCAAGGGCCTGTGTCATTGTAAAACTGAACACTCCATTTGGCCACACATGTTAAAAGCTTTTAAAACTGCTTATACCCTTTGACCCAGCAATTGCACTTCTTGGAATTTATCCTAGGGAGCTAATTAAGGAAGTGTGCAAAGCTCTAGCTACAGGGATGTGCACTGAAGCAAGGAAAATTGAAAGCAATTTAAACGTTTGATGGTAGGGGTTAGCTGAAGAAATGATGATACATCTTTTCCATGGAAGACTTTCTAGCCATTAAAAGTTGGAGGTGGCTATGTGTTAATATAGAAAGGCRTTCATGGTATGCTATTACACAGAAAAAAAATTGTGACAGAATAGAATATGTAGTAGCATTAATTAAAAATATGTGTACTGATATACATACATGCATACATACCTAATGTAGACATTGCAAACTTAGATGCCCTCGAAGGTGTAAAGGAATGAGATGGGATTGGTGTAAGAAGTGGTGAACTGAATACCAAATGTGCTACCCCAAATCATTCCAAACAAAATGACTTTTAAAAACATTGTGCAGGCTGAATCCCACTGGAAGAAACCATTTTGTGACCTAAAACATAAAAACCAAGTGAAATTATAAATGTTAATGATAATAGTAGTTATCTCAATATGGTGGAGTATTTTTTAAAAAAATTTATTCTGTTCTTGATTTAGAACTTTTTCCCTTTTCTATGCTGGATATGTATTTTTGTGAGATGAACAGGGTGTGAACTCTATCCATGAAGAGGCAGCTTGGACCTTGGAGTGAGGGACTGTGAGCAGGTAGTGCAAAGAGAAAGCTGAGTTCATTCCAGACTTGTCACAAAAGCACAGACCCCTCATGAGTGACCTGGGAAGATGAACACCGTTGAGGACCAGGGGGGTCAATGACTTGGGAGCTGACATTGGGACTCATTCGGCTCAGGAATGGCAGCCATGATGGAGCTGGAGCGAGAAGCAGATGAACAGGAGCTGAGGGGGCTGTCCTCCTCATTAGAGCCGGCTGTAGGGTGGGCTTCTGGGTTGGATTGGCCTGGGGGCTCCGTGAGGACTTGGTCTCTGGCATATCTTCCTATGATCAGAGAAGAGGCAGCTAGGCTGAGCATGGCGAGCCTGCAAGTGAGCTGCTGCTGCTCACTGGGCTGAAGTTCACAGTGGGAGTTGAGGAGAGGGCTAAACTGGGAGTGTCACTGCATTATGCCGGATCCTGGGGAACCACCTGTGGGATACGCAGAAGACACAGTGACAGAAGGTCTGGTTGGACTCAGGAGGGGCCCTGGTAGCTATTGAGTTTCTTTATGACTAAGGGGTTTCCACCTGGTCAGCTACCACTGTGAATAGCTCACAAGCACCATTGTCGGGCAGGCCATGAGTTTAGATTTCTAGAGGTAAAACAGATAGGCATCCATGTCCTTGGGAGCTCCAGGGAGCTGGGAAGCAGCCAGGCAGGCTCCGAGTGGGGGCTCCAGGTTGCCACCATGAGGAGGAATCTTCTGGGTAGATAGCAGCCCAGGTAGACAGGACGGGAAGGTGATCCCCAGGCCAAGCATGCACAGGAATGTGTCCACTGCAGGACAAGTGGGTTGTGCCACYCAGTGGCAGCATAGAGGCTGTCTGTCCCCACCTGTTTGCTACCTAACACAAGCAGACGTGGCTGGTGCCAGCAGCACTAGTGCTTCACGGGCAGCACTGATCAGGTATGGCAAGATGACAGAGGGCGGGATCCCTGGGAGCAGAGGTTCTCAGACTCGGCTGAGCACCAGCATGGCCTGGGAAGAGTTCCCTGAAGAGAGATTCCGGGGAGACGACTGAAATGGGTCAGAGAATGGTCCAGCTGACCTAAGGATATACGTGCACGTGTCCAAATACAAAGAACRGGGGCTGCAAGGACGCTTATCAATGAAGTGGTGGCCCCAGAGAAAGGAAGTTGGGCTGGAGTCAGCTTCAGTTGTGTTTTGCACACTTCTCGATTGTTTGGACTTTTTATAAGTACATTTCACAGGAGCTGTTTGGGAGGAGCCCACGAGAACACGGACCCACAGACCCCCCACCCCTTCGTGAGAAAGCCAAGCTCCCAGTGTGCACTAACTTTCGAGGGTCACAGCTAGTAGTGATGGATAAGAGAGGCGATATTCAGAGATCCAAGGGACGGGAGAGACGGCTGCTGGGTCTGAGCAGGATGTCCCCTGAGGGCTGTCATATAAATACATTAATCTGTGTTCATCTGAAATTTAAATCTGACTGACTTCCTGGAGTTCTGTTTGCTAAACCTGGCAGCCTCTCCCCCAGGGAACGGGATGGGCTTAAGACTAAGGAGGAAGAAGCTCTCTGTTGCCCGGTTTCCCCAGAGAGGGCCAAGGCACGTTCCTGGGAATGGGCACTGGCAGAGGGCCAGGCGCTCCCTTGGCTGGAACTTGAAGCAGGAATTTTCTTACTTCAGGTCCTGGTGTCTCTGGCTACGCTTTCATTAATGAGATGGGACTTCTGCAGTTATTGGTGGTGGCGATGGTTTGGGTATTTTTGTTTTGTTTTAGGAGACCTGGGGTATATATTTTACCCACTAGTGCAGTGTGTGGTGTGTGTGATATGTGGTGTGGTGTGTGTGGGGGTGTGGTGTGTGGTGTGATATATGTGGTATGTGGTACAGTGTGTGTGTGTGGTATGTATGTGGGGTGTGATGGGTGTATGTGATATGTGTGAGGTGTGTGTTTAGTGTGCGTGTGATATGTATGTGGTATGTGGTGTGGTGTGGTGTGTGTGTAGTTTGGTATATGTAGTTTATGGAACAGTGTATGTGGTATGTATATGGTATGTGGTGTGTGTGGTGTGCTGTGTGCTGTGTGGTATAGTGTGTGTGTGGTGTGTATGTGTGTTGTGGTGTGGTGTGTGTGTATGTGTGTAGGGGGTGTGGGGTGTGTGTATGTATGTGTGTGGTGTGTGCTGTGTGGTATTGTGTGTATGTGTGGTGTGTATGTGTGCGTGTGTGTGCGGTGTGGTGTGTGTGATGTGTGTGTGTGTAGTGTGTGCTGTGTAGTATGGTGTATATGTGTGTGTATGGTGTGTGCTGTGTAGTATGGTGTATATGTGTGTGTATGGTGTGTGCTGTGTAGTATGGTGTATATGTGTGTGTGGTGTGTGCTGTGTGGTATGGTGTGTGTGGTGTGTGCTGTGTGGTATGGTGTGTGTGTGTGGTGTGTGTGCTGTGTGGTATGGTGTGTGTGGTGTATATGTTTGTGTGTGGTATGGTATGTGTGTGTGGTATGTGTGTGGTGTGTGCTGTGTGGTATGGTGTGTGTGTGGTGTATATGTGTGTGTGTGTGGTGTGTGTTTTGTGTGTGGTGTGGTATGTAGTGTGTGGTGTGTGTGTGGTGTGTGTGT